GCCTCCGCCGACGCCGCCGCCGTCTACGCCGCCCTCGCCTCCTCCGCCGTCGCCGCCGCCGTCGCCGCCGCCCTCGCCTCCTCCGCCGACGCCGCCGCCGTCTCCGCCGCCCTCGCCTCCTCCGCCGTCGCCGCCGCCGTCGCCGCCGCCCTCGCCTCCTCCGCCGTCGCCACCGCCGTCGCCGCCGCCCTCGCCTCCTCCGCCGACGCCGCCGCCGTCTACGCCGCCCTCGCCTCCTCCGCCGTCGCCGCCGCCGTCTCCGCCGCCCTCGCCTCCTCCGCCGTCGCCGTCGCCGCCGCCGCCGACGCCGCCGCCGTCTATGCCGCCCTCGCCTCCTCCGCCGTCGCCGCCGCCGTCTCCGCCGCCCTCGCCTCCTCCGCCGTCGCCGTCGCCGCCGCCGCCGCCGCCGCCCTCGCCTCCTCCGCCGACGCCGCCGCCGTCTACGCCGCCCTCGCCTCCTCCGCCGACGCCGCCGCCGTCTACGCCGCCCTCGCCTCCTCCGCCGTCGCCGCCGCCCTCGCCGCCGCCCTCGCCTCCTCCGCCGACGCCGCCGCCGTCTACGCCGCCCTCGCCTCCTCTGCCGTCGCCGCCGCCGTCTCCGCCGCCCTCGCCTCCTCCGCCGTCGCCGTCGCCGCCGCCGCCGCCGCCGCCCTCGCCTCCTCCGCCGACGCCGCCGCCGTCTACGCCGCCCTCGCCTCCTCTGCCGTCGCCGCCGCCGTCTACGCCGCCCTCGCCTCCTCCGCCGTCGCCGCCGCCGTCGCCGCCGCCCTCGCCTCCTCCGCCGACGCCGCCGCCGTCTACGCCGCCCTCGCCTCCTCCGCCGTCGCCGCCGCCGTCGCCGCCGCCCTCGCCTCCTCCGCCGTCGCCGCCGCCGTCTCCGCCGCCCTCGCCTCCTCCGCCGTCGCCGCCGCCGTCGCCGCCGCCCTCGCCTCCTCCGCCGTCGCCGCCGCCGTCTCCGCCGCCCTCGCCTCCTCCGCCGTCGCCGCCGCCGTCGCCGCCGCCCTCGCCTCCTCCGCCGTCGCCGCCGCCGTCTCCGCCGCCCTCGCCTCCTCCGCCGTCGCCGCCGCCCTCTCCGCCGCCCTCGCCTCCTCCGCCGTCGCCGCCGCCGTCTCCGCCGCCCTCGCCTCCTCCGCCGTCGCCGCCGCCGTCTCCGCCGCCCTCGCCTCCTCCGCCGTCGCCGCCGCCGTCGCCGCCGCCCTCGCCTTCTCCGCCGTCGCCGCCGCCGTCGCCGCCTCCACCGGTTCCGCCGCCGCCCACTCCGCCGCCGCCCGGCTCTCCGCCTGCGCCAGCGCCCCCTCCTTCACCATGCCCAACTGCGTACGAGCCGCCGACCGAATCGTGCCTGGAGGTCATGAACCCTCGCACAGCCATGAACGGAGCATGGTGGATGGCCGACATGTCGGGAGTCACGAGTTTTGGAGCCGCAGGCGACCTGCCGCCATGCTGCGACCGCATCCTGCAGTGCGCTGTGCATTACACGACGGAGTACGTCAACAACGGCGATTACACCACCCTCGGGCCCGGCTGCGACGCGTACGTCAACAACGGCGATTACGTGCGCGACCTGTGCCCTCGAACATGCAGCTGATCATTTACCACCTTCAACCTGGTTTGTGGAGCTCCCACACCTGTTCTGACAGAGACCTGGCCGTTCTGACAGCGCGTTCTGACAGCGTTCTGATAGTGTTCTGACAACGTTCTGACAGCGTTCTGACAGCGCAAAATCCTCCCCTCTCTTCACAGCTCAGGGACCGAGCCACGGACGGACGGACTCACTCAACACACACACAGACACACGCACACAGTCTCAGTCACACACAGCACACCCTCCCAAGGCGACACTCTCACGGTGAGGCGTAGGCCCTGTTCTGACACAAACTTAGTCCCCGTTCTGACACAAACTTCTGAGCCCGCACCCACCGCCCGCGCGCGCCCAAGAGAAAAATTCGCGCGTGCGTGCGCGCGCCGCCGCCGCCCCGCGACTGACGGCAGCGCCCACGCGCGTGGCCTCCCTCGCCACAGACGCGTCCGGCGGCATCTGGAATTGCGCCTCGTGGGCGGGCTTCGACTGCACCCTCGCGGCGTCGCACTGGGGCTACACGATGGGCCAGGCGGAGGAGCTGCTCCGCGAGTGCCCCGTGACGTGCGATGTGTGCCCGGCGACGGCGCCGGCGACGACGGCGGACACGGAGACGATGGCGGCCAAGGAGGCGGCGCTCGTCGCCGCGAGCGCCGCCCACCGCGCGAGCGTCATCGCGGGCCTGCACGGCATGCACGAGAAGACGAAGGCGCGCGGCGCGCGGCTGTACCTGATGGCGAAGAACAAGGCGATGCAGCAGGCGACCAATTCATGTGGTTTTGCCAACACTTGTTGTCCGGGGCAGGATCACAGTTGTCAGCCAGCGGGAG